TCATTCCTATTGACGAAAAAGGCAACTAAACTTTCTTTTGTTTCTTTGTCACAAACTAATTTCTTCATTCCTATTGACGAAAAAGGCAACTAAACTTTCTTTTGTTTCTTTGTCGCAAACTAATTTCGTCATTCCTATTAACGAAAAAGGTAACTAAATTTTCTCTTGTTTCTTTGTCACAAACTAATTTCGTCATTCCTATTAACGAAAAAAGCAACTAAACTTTCTTTTGTTTCTTTGTCACAAACTAATTTCGAGATTCCTATTAACGAAAAAGGCAACTAAACTTTCTTTTGTTTCTTTGTCACAAACTAATTTCGTCATTCCTATTAACGAAAAAGGCAACTAAACTTTATTTTGTTTCTTTGTCACAAACTAATTTACAAACGAAACACTTACAGAACTATGGGTTTCTTCTACTTGTAAGCTAACACAATTTAAAACTTATTCTCCAGACAAAACTAAACATTTTTATGACTAAGGTAGATTGAGCTTACAAAGGTTGTTATATTTTATACATGTGTTTTATATCAAAGCCACATCGGGATATCTGCTGTGTCCACCGAAGGGAATCGAACCGCTGATTTTAGCGATGTAAATCCATAGATTTACCCCTGTCTCACAGTGGAGGATTGTTTTACGGAGAAGAAAAATAATATTTGAATAGAACTTTATGATATATTATAGACCCATATTAGCCTTTGTGTCCACCAACAATTTGAAGAGCTATTTTTATTGACAAGAACGTAATTCGTGTTATGTACAGATTTCAACCTATGATAAATGAATGATTTATTCAGCTCTACTTTCTTTTTTTATGAAGAAGAAGAGAAACGCTGCCTGAAAGAAACGTAATCAATTTCTACGAATGTTTTTTTTTTTTATTTCAGCTACAATATTGAAGACTGACGTCATTCACTTATCTACTGGCCTTGTTTTCAGAAATTCTCCAGCAATAACTTTTGTAGAGATTTATGCGCTTGGGAGGAATTTTACTCTAAACTTGCGGAAATCAAATATTATCCATGAGAATTTCAGAATCACTGAAATATTTGGCTCTGAAAAAGAGCCATCAATTGAACGAGAAGTTAAAGTAAGTGATGAGTTAAGTGATTATTAAACGTTTTTAAACTCAGTTCTTTTCGGTAATTTAAGCTTAAGATTAAGATGTCACACTAAACATCAATATTTTGTACGTAATAATAATCCGAATGCCAGTGTGAAAATTGTTAGAAGTTTTGCTTCTGTGGGCTTGGCGTGGTCTAATGATTAACATTTCGGGCTACGGATGGAGGGTTCGCTAATAAATGGCAATAAAACTTTCAATTGTGGACGAGTTATAAAAGTAACAGTTAGTTTCGCTATTCTGTCCATCCAATGACAGGTACATCTGGCTAGCTGTCTTTCCTATAGTCAGTAGGTAAAACTTAGAGACAGCCATATCTAAGCCTAGAAGTCTTTAACCTAGCCGTTTGTCCAAGTGTGTAAAAATTCAGAAATTTGCATTTCATGTTTTTCTTCTATCGTGGATAACTTTTCTGTGATAGATAAGATGAATAAGTTGGAAAGCTATTTTAAATCATGTAAATTTTATTTAAAAAATATATGTGAATAGTAAATACATGCAAGCTACGTTTCTTTTCAAACAATTGTGGTTTATAGCAGGGTTTCCCACACTTTCTTAGTGCAAAAAACCACATTCAATGATTCTATAAATACTAAATACTTGATACTTTTATGTGGCACCCAATTTGGGAATCCCTTGGTCTAGTGATTTTTAAAGTAAGAAATTTTAAATTATATTGATCACATTGAGGGTTTGTTTGTTTGTTTGTTTTTTGAATTTCGCGCAAAGCTACACGAGGGCTATCTGCGCTAGCCGTCCCTAATTTAGCAGTGTAAGACTAGAGGGAAGGCAGCTAGTCATCACCACCCACCGCCAACTCTTGGGCTACTCTTTTACCAACGAATAGTGGGATTAGCCTTCACATTATAACGTCCCCACGGCTGAAAGGGCGAGCATGTTTGGTGTGACGGGGATTCGAACCTGCGACCCGCAGATTGCGAGTCGAGCGCCCTAACCACCTGGCCATCACATTGAGGGAAAACTTAAACAAAAAATAACACAGCTTCAGTTAGTTTTTTATTTGTTTGTTTGATTCAAGAAGCGCATATCTGGTTGTATGTCTGCTTCTCTCAGCCTGATCCGTATAGAGTAATATCACAAACCCTTCTACTACTAAGTAACAAAGGTGTCTTGACTCCCAGAAGACACCGGGAATTTCAGTGGAACTTTTGTTACAGTCAAGTTCTGTAATGCAGATTCAATAACTAACATCACATAACCTGCCGTGTTTGAACATTGTAATTATTTTTGGACTGTTATGTAAATCGACGATTTGTTTGTTTGTTTGAACAGACTTACCTAGCACTACTGCATGCCAAAGGAACTGGACTAACGTGTTTACACGTGACACGCTTGCTTTAGGCTGTGAACACTTAGTAGGAGGTTACTTAACATTCTGGGGCGGAGCATAAATGAAACGTCATAACCCAGGAAATATGACATGCGCGATCACATTCTCTCCATTGAGCTCGATGCTTCTTTGTGTTCGCCAGACGACTATTTTCTGAACGTTCTGGCAAATCAAGACAGGCAGGTTGATAACGATCGAAACGCGACTTGAGCAACTAAAAACAAATATCAGAATGATGTTTCATTAAAACACCACCCACTAAATATATGAATTTTAAATGACCTCCTTCTAACAGCTGGACTTGAGTGCCTACCGCTTTAGATTTGAAACCCCTGGTGTAGGTCCCTCAGTGAGGCAGGGAAATTACGCACTGCAAACGCAAATATCCAGGGAACCTACACAGAGCAGTGAACAGAATGAACAGAGTACATGATGTAGTTTTGCGCTAAAACAAACAAACAAAAAACTCTAACTTTAGAAAAAATAAATTGAAGCAGAGTACAAACACTATATTTAAAAAAAAATCTAACTTCGAAGATTATAAATCATAACTGTATCTTAGGTTCGTGAAGATGAGGTTAATAGCTAAGGTTGATTTTCAACTTTCTTGAAATTCTTCTATGTTCTATGCTTCAATGGAATTATTCCGGAAAAAGTCAGAATAGGCATTTATTTTCTCGATATTATAAGAAAATATATAATGTGAAGAAAGGTACTTGGTTTTTTGTATTTGTTTTCGATGAAATATTTGGTATGTAACAACAAGTTTGTGACGAAGAAATTGTATCACTGCATCAAACATCGTTTATTACGAATATCAGACATAAACGCTTGTTCGAAACATTTTTCAACTGATGAAAGTTTAATGTTAGTTGTTATATTTGTTTTTCATAAGGTTAACCTTGATGACCTAAAGGACAACATTTATGTCGACAGCTCTACCCGTTGTGTAGTATACTACAAACGAAATGGAAACTCTATTTTTATGGTGAGAATTAATCTAGCAAATTGAAACAGTTATTTTCTTTTCATGGCGGAGAATTAATCTAGCAAACAGTTACTTTCTTTTCATGGTGAGAATTAATCTAGCAAACAGTTACTTTCTTT